AAAAAAAGTTCAGCCAAACATAGAAGGTTCAAAAAAAAGTTCAGCCAAACATAGAAGGTTCAAAAAAAAGTTCAGGCAAACATAGAAGGTTCAAAAAAAAGTTCAGCCAAACATAGAAGTCTCAAAAAAAAGTTCAGCCAAACATAGAAGGCTCAAAAAAAAGTTCAGCCAAACATAGAAGGTTCAAAAAAAAGTTCAGCCAAACATAGAAGGTTCAAAAAAAAGTTCAGCCAAACATAGAAGGCTCAAAAAAAAGTTCAGCCAAACATAGAAGGTTCAAAAAAATGTTCAGCCAAACATAGAATTCTCAAAAAAAATCAGCCAAACATAGAAGGCTCAAAAAAAAGTTCAGCCACGCATAGAAGGCTCAAAAGAGTTCAGGCACGCAGTTGTTTAAAAAGCAATGTTTGGGCCAGGCCACAAAATTGAAGGCGCCAAAAAGTATCCACAGAACAATCAGCTCACTTTGCTTCCATTTAGAAGGTCATCAGCATGACATTCTTTTTCACGTATTGCCCACAGGCCTGCAGTGGGGTGTTCGTTGCTCCACCTGTTTCGATGGGCCGGGGACAGGGAGGGGACGGGGAAGGAAAGCACTGTTTTTCCATGTTTTTCCACAAGCAGAGATTGGCACTCACTTACCACTTGTTTGTGGGTTGGGGTGGTCGCTGGGTTTGTTGGACATTGTTGGGCTCAAATCACACCTTTGACTTTGGGGTTGACTTGGACTTAGACTTAGACCCCGCAAAACTAGACTAACTAGACTAGACTTAGACTCAGACTTCGGCGACTTAGGTTCCTTTTGTGACTAGTGACTAGTCCCCAACACGAAATCGATGACCAGATCAGGGAGGTCTAGATCAGCTACTTATTCATGCGCAAAATTGAGATAAAGTGGTTTGAAAATTTGAGATTGTGCAGTCGTGGGTCCCTCGCGTGCTTTGCAGTGTTACTTTGATGTACTTCTGTCGGGGTGTGTCGTTTTCAAAACGGATTTCAGAGTCCCACTTTCATTCATAGGACAGCTTGTTGTTGAAGTGCTGATTGATTGGGTTTAAACTAATACAAGTGTTTTCGACTAAGACTTAGACAACAGACTCAGACTTAGACCAAAACTGGACAACATCAGACTGGCTCAAGACATTGGATTCCAAATTGATCAGGAGGTCGGGGATCCCAAGGTTTCAGTTTCACTTGCCTTTGATGCTATTGTCATTGATTTGCCAGACCTTTCATAATGCAACTTAATTGCATAACTGCTGCTTCAATCTCAATGCTTCCCGGCCATCCTGAGGTATGATCACATGGAGTATCCTGGGATGATTCGTCAAAACTGTCGGGCTCCCAATGATGACTGCTCCCACAGACAGAAACGAAGAGAGGCGCAAAGTCAACGCTGACATTTGTAGCTGATTCATAAGTCATAAGTCAACTCCAAGATGCAAGGCCAAGCAAGCACACAACAAGACATCCAGTGAAATCCACACTCATTCAGCAGTGCAAAGCTAATAACTAATCATTTGCACGGTGCAATTCACTTTTTCATCAATCTCATGAGCGAACCGTGTAGGCCAGGGCTTGTCATGGCCAGTCAAAAAGTCCTAGGTCCTAGGTCCTAAGTCGAGTCTAAGTCAAAGTCTTAGTCCCTGGACACTGGCACCAAGTGGTATCCCCAGACTTGGAAGACCACAGAACTCAAGTGCGGTGCACAGTCCGGAGACCAACCAAAGATGTCTTCACTGTTGAAGCTATGCTGGCATCCATAAAGGCTGCCTTTGTAGAACACCGGGACCACGAAGACAGGCTGCTCCTTGTAGCGGCGGGTGGCTTCCACCAAGAAGTTTGGCATGGGCATGCTCCGAAGTTCCTGCCGCCAAGCAAACAAGTCATCGAAGACCTTCTTTGTCAAGACTTCCGCAGCAATCCTCAGGTGCAACAACTGATTCAGAATCAACTTCTGTCAATACATAGGATCCCATTCTACAGAAACAAAGAAATAAAAACCTGAGTTTCTTTATCCTTTACAAGTCTCTTCAGAAATGGGTGCGACATGGCATCCGGCTGGCTCACCCCAAAGCAACCAGGCTTGTAGTACCTCAGCCAGCACGCTCAAGCAGTGAGAACACAAAATGTCCCTGACATACTTTGGCACTGCCACAAACATGAAGCGAGGCACTCACGGTGGATCTCCGGCACTGGTGGCATGTCAGCGCCCAAGCGAGAAAGAAGACCTATGGCCCTAAGATGGAACACCAATGTCTCTTGACAAAGACACAAATTGCCTCTGATGATGTAGACAATGACAATATTCAATTGAAAGCCAACACAAAAACCTCCACTTTTCCAGTCTAATCTGAGTCAAGAGGCAGCTCGCTGTCCTGAATCAGCCGCTCCACCTGATCCATGGACGTCGGGATGTTGGCCGCTTGCAGGTACTGCGTGGCCAACTCAGCAGTCAACTGGACAGTGGTGGGCATGGCTGATCTGAGTCTAAGTCTAAGTCCAAGTCTTAGTCTTAGTGCAAAATGTCTCGTGAGCAAACTTTTGAGCCATGAGAAGCAGCGAACAAAACCATTTCATCAATCTTGCCCACTTCCACCCAGACACAAGGATTCCAGACTCACAAAAAATGCAACGCAGACATCATTGGGAGCCCGACAGTTTTGACGAATCATCCCAGGATACTCTCTTCAGTGTGGGAGTCTGAGATGTGCCAGAGTTTCAGTCTGATGAACATCAATGGCGTCAGCATTGTGTTCTGTTTGGCGACTGCCTTTGCAGAAGGTTTGAGGCTTGTGTCAGTCAGCTTGAAGCTTGCCCATTTGGAGAAACCCTGCTGATCACTCTGAGGTTGCCTGGCCTCAACGCAACTTTGACACTGGAGGGGCGCTCGTGGCCTGATTTCTAGAAATCTTTCTTGCGTGTCCTGCTGTTGCATTTCACATTGTGATGAATGATGAAGTGATTGCACATTTCACATTAAGTTCAGTCACTCGTGATGAAATTTGTCACTGGGTTCTGCCGCCATTTCATTGCAGTTTTCCAAGACGTGGACAGCAAAGAGATATGAACATGGCTTTCAAACAACAGTAGCAAGGGTAATCAATGACCACATGAAGACTTAGACTTAGACCACTGCTGCCTCGCGAGTCATGGCGACCAAGCATCAGGACATCATCTTCATTGCTTGGGGGGCTGACAGGGAGTACAAAATGAGAGCTCGCGACTTGTCTTGATTGAATCAATTGAATTGAATTGAATTGAATGGCATGGAATTTGGATTGATTGCCTGGGTCATACCATTTCACAGTCCATTTCATTTCGTGACAATTTCAACTCAGGAGAAGGTGGTTTTCATTGGCTTCAAGGAAGGGATTGCATGGCTGGCCATTGGAAGTGCAACTTGGAGCATTGGTGGGATGTGGAAAGGGATGCATTTTTGCAGGCCTGTCATCTGTGCTGCGTTTTGCTCTTGCATGGTCTAGCCAAGGCCAATTCAGGAGGGCTACGCATTTGACGCTGGACATCCGCGAGATGTGGCTGGATGATCCATATGAGACCATTCCAGGTTTCAAAGATGATGGGGACCATGAAAAGAAGCGGGGCGCCTTGGCAAGGAATTGTGTCATTGGCAACAAACAGGAAAAAAAGGAATGGTGAGGTGAAGTGCACTGCCCCTTTGCTGATGCCTGCACTCTCTTGTCAACTTGTCCCCAGGAAAAGTGGTCGATGATCCAGACTCCCTCCGTGAAGTGTTGATTCAGACTGGCGCCAAAGATTGCACCTTCTTCCTCTACAGCATCATTTGCACTCACTTGAAGATGCACAAGAAGAGGCGACACCAATTGGTGATTCAAGTGGTCTGTACACAGGCTGCACTGGAGCTGTGGTGTTGTGTTTGTGAAATGTTTTGAGCAACGCCCCACACTCACATGCACTATTTTTGGATCTCGACTTCTGACTGTCACACTGTCCTTGCTGACAAAACATCTGAGGCACAAAAGGTTTGCACAGGTCAGTGGCTGTGGTTCTGGCGTTGTGCTATTTGCTGGATTGGACGGCCACGTACTACTTCCCTTCAGTCTTTGGAGTGTACGCTCAAGCTTCATATGAGCCTCCTCGATCTTGGAAGAAGGCTTGGATGGAACCGATTGTGGACTCATGGCGTGTAGTTGAAGATCTTCTTCAGGAGGAGGATGATGACAAGGCCAAGGCCGAGGCCCCTGCATCTTCCTCAAAGGTGCCTGAGGCTGAGGCATCGACTCCGCCTTGGCGTAAGGATGAATCCATGGCCGTTGAGGAGAACCTACCGCCACCTACCAAGGCCTGGCTTGTTGATTGGAATGTTTTTCCAAAAAATGCTCAATGAGTAAATCATTTGAAAGCTTGCTTGCGACTTTGACCTGCAGGCCTTGAAGGAGTTCACGCTGGCGGCACCGGATGTGGCTGGGATGGTGATGCAGGTCGGCTTCTCTCAGAACACCTTGCTCGTGACTTGTATGCATGTGGCTGCTTGCATGTGTTCAAGTATGGTCACTGCAGTCAGCAACTTGACACGTTTCTATGCGCTCAACCATTGTCACCGCGTTTTTCAGCAATTTGAAATATGAAATTGTTCAGGGCATTGTGAACTTGTACAACTACAGCCCGCTGGGGGGCCCAATTTGTGAGGGACTTCGCCTTCCAATGCCTGGACCATGTCCAGAACAGGACTTGGAAGCATGTTGATGGCGTAGCCACCTCAATGCTGATCGAGAAGATGAGGTTGGTCCGTGCCCTGGCTTGATTGTTTGACTGTTTGACTTGATTGATTGCAGTTTCTTGTGTGATCATTCATTCATTTGTTTCTTGGTTCATCGAGTTTTGGGTTGTTCATGCCTTGGGCATCTCAGGGGCAGAAGCCATCAGAGATGCCAAGAAGAGCCGTGGTGGCGACTACGTGTGGCAGGGTGGCTACTACTGGGGATGAGTGGCAGTCAGACCCAGACTAGGACTAAGACTTAGACTTTGACTTAGACTGACTGTGACCAGAGTGACTGTAGACACAGCGTGGCCCCACAGCCTTTTTTCATTTACATCTCAGCCTGCAATGTCAAAGTATACACTTAGACATTTACATCGAAGCAATGTACTGTCAAATTACCCATGATCACATGATGGCCAATCTGTGTCTCCTGTTACATGTCAAGATTGTCTTTTTTTGGATGGTCACAATTTAAATTGTCGGAGCGACCTGGAATCAAAGATCGCCAGCGCAGCCAGCAAAGAAGCTGCCAACTTGCTGCGGCGCTGAAAAAAAGAGCTCCATTCTCCAGTTCACATGGGCCGCTTCATGAACTGCAGTTGAGACATTGTTAGTTGCAAAAACCTGCTTTGGAACTTTTGCAAGGTTTCCACCCCTTTGCCCTTTGAGGAGACACCCTGAGAGACCCTGACACTTGTGTTATTGCTACAGCGCGCCAGGTGCCTGGCACTTTGACTTAGACTCCGCTGCCATGAGCTTGGCTTCAGAAGTTTTGTGGCGGATGTATCTGTGCAGCGGGGGAAATTAGTTTTCTTGAAGAGAGCAATCTTTTTTTGCTGGACGCAGTTGTGCACCAGGCGCCTCAAAGACTTTGACTTAGACTACCGGCCATGAGCTTGGTTTCAGGTGTTGTTATGTCGGATGTAGTTGTACTTGGGTGAACTCTTTTTCAGCAAGTTGCAACTCTTGGAGTCTTAGATATATTATTTGCTTGCGAAGCTGCATCAGGCACATTCAACCGCCACGCGTTCCACTGTTCAACAGGTTGTGGCCCAAGCATGAGTCACTTTGTCAGTATCAGTCTTTGCGTAGTTAAAGTAAATGTTGAGGTCCTAACTTCAGGCTAGCTATGTTTGCTGCTTTGTTTTCAGTTTTCTTGTAGCTCTTGTGACAGCTCAAATTGTCCTTGGTTTCCGCTACATTGGAGAAATGCTTGCGCAACTGTGTCAGGTATCTTCTAGAATCAACTTCTTGAGATTGTTCAGGAGGTTGTGGCCCAAGCTTTTATGCAAATTGTTCTTTCAGTTCTTTCTTGCATCATTGAGAGGATGGATTCTATCCTGTTGAGTGTTCTATTGCAGCTCTTCAGTCACCTCAAACTGTCACTGCTTGCTTTGCTTCATTGTTGATCAATGTCCTCTGCCTTCAACATGGAGCTCACCGACAGTGATGAGGGAGCGTCTCTCCGGCGTATGGTGAAACGCCACCGGGCCATTCAGTGCTTGGTTCACAAGTACTCTGCAGCAGGGGTCCCAATTCCGGACAGTCTCAAATCATTGCTGGAGGATGTTGCAAATGAGGCTCAGTCGGATCAAGTGCCCAAGAGACTTTTTGAATCTGTGATGAGGGCTGCGAGGGTAACGCTGAGAGAGATGAGTCCAACTCAGACTGAGACTGAGACCTAGACCTAGACTTAGACTTAGACTTAGACTTAGACTGACTGGACTCAGACTGGCTGAGCTGATTGGGTGGCCTTTTAGCATTTCAGCCTCAGTAATTAATAATTACATTACAGAAGCATGCAGCGCATACCAAATGAAATGGTTCCGCGTGTATCAAAACAAAAGGTCACAGGTGAAACGGATATGGCAAACAACCGCATTGTTCCAGGAAAGTCAACTCACTACCTATCGGTCCTATCTGACCTATCTGTATCTCATCCATTTCAAACAACTTCAATAGTCACTAGTCACTAGCCAATAGTCAGGAGTCACTGCTCAGCCTATCAAGCCTGTCAATTGAACTATTCATTCTTTGCCGAGCTTTGTGTGTTGTTTTCGGCCCAGTGAAAAAGTACCATGTCAGGGGGGGGTCCAAATGCACCACATTAAACTTTGCTATCGTAGATATCCAAAGTTTGACATAGTCCTACAGGTTCAATCTCTCACAACTCTAAAAGTGATCTGCAGGGAATGCCTCGAAGCAATCAAACTGCGCTGTCCGTAAGACATATATGAGTCATTGTCATTGACCCATTGCCATGGCCCATGGCCGGCCTACTGTCTTTGTTTGAAAACGATTCAGACGATTTCAACCATTCAGAGCAGGGACCAGAACACACTGCAGCCGCTGAATCCATTTTGCAGGCTGCGCTTTCAGGGTTTGATCTGGACCTGGGCAGTGAGAAAGACAAAGACAACAGTGACAAAGAGCAGCCAGGACGACAACAGCGAAGAAGGGCAGAGAGATCCAGATCACCAGTAGTGACACATACACTGCAAAAGAACCGGGCAGTTCGTTGGAAGACCCCCAACAATCAAGCTGATGGTGATGGAGTTCATGCAGAACCCAATGACTTACCTGAAGATCGCGTGAAGGACGTTCAAGAGATCGCCTCAGCTCTGTTCACAGGCCCATCTCTGGAAGGTCAACTGTTCAGGGTCAGTCGCCTTATGAATGTGAATCGCAAGATGATCAAGCGCCATGTGAATAGATTAGCTGCTGCAGCTTTGGAGGCGCAGACGCACTACAGTGCAATTTTCCTTTCCAAACTGGCAAAGCTTTCAGGTGGAGGTAGCCCACTAGCGCCGCAACTTTTCATGAGAGGCTTCGACTTGCATATATCGTATATGTATTCTGTGCTTATGGCATTTAAGGTTCCAAAGTCTTCAATTCCTGCAAGTAAGTAGATCACTATAGCTTCAGTAGAGCGATCACTCACTAAAGTCTAGTAGAGTCTAGTGACTAGAGACTTGACTAGACCTTCCAGGACCAAGACATAGACATAGACAGGGGCGCTTCTCCAAAACCATGCCTTGTTTTTGCTTGCCGAAGGTGTGTATGGCGCTATTCAGGAGTTCAATAAGAATACTCCAGTCACCAGTCAAAAGTCGCTGGTCCAAGTCTTAAGTCTTAAGCCTAGAGTCTAGAGTCTAGAGTTTAGAGGAGTGCCTACAGTCCACAGTCCAGTACAGCATACCTGCTAACTTGAAGTAGTTTGCAACTGACAAATCAGCAACACAGCCACCGCATTATTGTAGACTCTGTAGACTGTAGACTATCCCTGAACAGTGGCGATGGCACAGGCCTTTTGAAAGTGTGTCCAGACAGTTTGCTCTCTTCACACCACGATCTGTAATCCGCAGGAGACTCAGAAAAGTAGACCCTATGTTTGCTGCTGCTTGCTTTCAAAAGAAGCGGCCCACACACAAACCAGCTAAGTGCTCATGTTTGCCCTGTGTGGATCAGCCCGGCAGTTTCAGCTTGTTGTAGTGCGTTTTATACATCCACTACAAAAATGGCAAAACGTCAGCAATCCAATCCTTTATCTGTTCAGCATTAGAAGGAAGGTGTGTGCTTCTCAGACTCAAGCAACACATGGAACTGCGCACAACCCTTGCGGCATTGCGCCTATTTCACCATACAGTCTGTTACATATTGTGCGCAAACCTTGCACAGTGTCTCTGATTTTCTGTGTTCCTTACAACAAGAACCACCAAACTTCCAGCAAAGATCCCTATGGCGTTCCAACATGTAGAATGTAGAATGATTGGGGTGTGTATGACCCCTGCGCTTCGCAGGGGAACCGATTTCGAGAGGTGGCCTGGATACCACTTTTTGGATCCAAAAAACGGGTTCGCAGGCCACCTTCTGAAGTTGAACCCAAAGTATATAGAAGATTCTCGGAACATTGCCAGTCTGGTACCATCAGACATTGGCCAACTCTGACACATCTGTAAGTAGACTGGACTTGAAATGACCCAAGACTCGACTTGATTTGACCTGACTTAACTTAACCGACTTAACCGGCTTCGACTGACTAGGGAATTTGTTTTTTTGAAATATGATTATCAATGTCACAGTCAGTGTTCTTAGTGTCTCGGTCTCAGTCTTGGGAGTCTTGGTGAAGCTTCAATTCCTCAATTCCTGACAGTGCGCATTTGCAAGGAATACGGCAATATGACGAGACACCAATGTGGATGAAGGCAACAGCTCTGGAGCAAGAGTTCAACCGACAAAGCGTTGCCCAGCATCATGGGAAGGCCAGTAGCTTTGAGGTTGGCGCAGCCACCGTCAAACTTTTTGTGGTTCAGCAGCGTTGGGCAGCTGTGGTTGGAGTGGAAGGGAACAAGGGAGCTCCTTCATTGTGCTTTGAAGCGCAAGTGGCCACACCGTTGCAGATTTTGGAGAACAATTCCGGCAAAGTAATTGCAGAGGCTGTGCGGCAGTCAGTTGACATGGGCTACGACAATGTTGTGAAGGACACCTTTCCTCGTGTGCTGGACATTGTAACAACAGACGACTACTCTGCTAACCATGTGGCTGAGCGCTTGCTGACCCAACACTATGAGACTCAGTTTTCAAGCTGCCACATCGGAAAACTGCATGTGAGTTGTGATGTTCACAAGGTTCATGCTTGCAGCAGAGCAGTCGTCGACCCGTTGCCAGTTTTCACCTCGGGTCTGGTCAAGAGTTCATTGGCGCTGAAATCAGGACAAATGCGCAGCTTTAGAGCTATTTTCCGGAAAGTCATTGACCAAAAGCTGCATGTGTACCATGGAGATCCACCCCACATTGGCGGCCCTGACCCGAGAGATCATCGGAACTTCATGCTTGAGACATTTTTTGGAACTTGTTCGGCTGCAGACCGATTGGTTGTGGCTACTTTGATGAACGGGGATTGGACAGTGCAACACGAGCTCCAGCACTACTGCAACGGCTGCTGTAGTTCACGAGAGGTGACAGTGGACTTGTGCCAGAAGTACTTGCTGAAAGCATTGATCAAACAGGGTCCTCGCATCTTTCAGAAAGGAAAGTGGATAGGTGGACATGAGCCTCGAACAAATCAATCAGAGTCACAAGTCAATGTTTTCTTGGGTTTAGTCTTTTTCAGTGTGGCAGTGTAGCTCACTTTGCCCGACAAACCGAACGTGTGTTTTATAGCGTATGACTTCTGACTTCTGACTATGACGCATGATAACTGGGACATGCGCCCCATGACCCACACAGTGTGGCAGCGTGGCGTACGGCGTACAAGAGACTGGGTGATGACTGTGATGACTGGAGTGGTTGAGACGCATGCCTAGGACCTAGTGACTAGTGACTAGTGACTAAGTGTGAAGACTGAAGACTTGAGACTTAAGACTAGTGACTAGTGACTAGTGGCCAGTTACCACCAGGACCCGGAATTGAATAGGACTAGGACGTGATACTGACTTGACTTGACTATAGTTGACTATAGACTATAGTATACTATAGTAACTATATATTATAGATTAGGACCTGCCCCGAAACAAGAGACCAATCAAGGCACGGCCATTCCAGTTGACGTGTTCAATGTATAATGGAGAGGGGGCCACCATCGCAAATGTATTTATTGAAGTATAAGACACTAAGAGCTTCACCTTCTTCTTCTTCCTTTGAGAAACAGTGGCTTTCAGCGGTGGTGCAACAAAGGCAAAACATATGTTTCTTGCAGGTCTTGCTGGAGCCTAGATGCTAGCTGCTAGCTCAGCTAAGGCTGAGGGGCTACTGCTACTGATACTGTCACATTGCACTTTTAGAAGAACTGGCGGCAAAGGCTAACAGCTGTTGCGCAAACAAAATACACACCATCATGTGACTCGAGGAGTGCTTGGACTGGTTTGCTCGCTTGGCCTGCATCCACAACCTTTTGAAGATGGTGATCAGCGCTTTGTTCAGCGCAGATCGGGTTCCAGAGTTGGATGAGCTGGACATCGACGCTTCAGACAATCAGGATTTGTCTGTGCAGCTGACTGCGTTGGTGCCAGAAAGCATTGATAGTGATGACTTCAAGCTGGTGTGCAAACGATGGCGGCAGGTATCAAGGCAGTGGATCTGCAACAACCCTTCCTTGTTGAAGGACCTCCTGTTCGTCAGGCTGTCTCTGACCCCTTTGGTTTCACTGATGGCGTCGCAGTTGCTTGGGATTTCTTGAATGGTTTTGCTGTTTCGTCAGCTTGGTTTTCAACCAGGAGACTTGTTGACTTTTTGTCTCAAGTCTTTATCACAAGTCTCGGCCCGGCCACAAGTATTTGTCACAAGTCGCCTTCTCAGTCCAACAGCCACTTATTAAAATTATTAAAACTAGCGCAAGTCACGAGTGGTCGTGATGAGGGAAAGGCTGCAAGGGTCAAGGGTCTTAACTATTAACAGGTTGCCGTAGGTGCATGGTTGTTTCCACTTCTACCAAGAAACCATGGAATAGATTCATTTCTAGACTCTAGACGACATTACCAGAGAATGACTGCTAGTTACTAGACACCAGATTCTCAAGTTCAATCATCACAGTAGAAGACTCGGTATGTCGTATGTAGTACAGTACAGGGTTGGAGAGCTTAGCCTTGTAAGAGTTTCTGGCTATTTGGACTAATGACTAGTAACTAGTAACTAGTAACAGTAGTGACGACGACAACAACAACACAACAACAACAACAACAACAACAAGGACATGTGACATGAGATTGTG